TTTTTGTGAAAACGTTTATTTACTTATTTTATTTTAATATTTGCTTCTACTAGCTATTATATTAAAATCGTTTGTAAAATATTCCTCTATGCATTATTTTTGAGAGAAAAACATCGTGTTAGGACACAAAAATTAGTTAATTCTCCACCAAAATGATCAGTCGACTGGTTCAGTCATACTTATGCTAACCACAAGGGGCAGCCCTACCGATAATCCACGTTTGGGGTCCCGCAATAAAATCATAAAATCGTTAGCAGTGCGGGCGCGCGCGGCCCGACATTAACACGTAATCCAATTTGCGTGGCCGCCGCGAAGAATGTTAAACCGCCACCAAAAAACGGTTTTAGCTAACGTTGCGAATTTTTTTTTCGATTTTTAGAACTCTGCTGGATTACATGCACGGAACCTTAAGTAGGTTTAAAATTAACATGGTTATATTGTAATTTTATGTTTTAGGTAGATAAGTAAAAATAAACGTAGTCTAAAGTATTTTTTTTACCAAAAATCTGCTCGCTAATTTTGAAGCAAATAAAAATAATATAATAATTTTTTTTTAATTTTCAATGAACATTACTTTTTTTTTAAATAAATACAAAACAGTATGAAACGATAGTAATTATCAAGTTTTAGTGACGAAAGTTTTTAAGTCCCTGTGGGTGAGTTTTATTACTTTTATGTAATTATTTGGATGTTATTAAACACAACCTTGATTTATCATTTTGGTGGTAGAAAAATAATGACTCAGGTATTTACCTGATAGGCATAACAACTTAAAGGGTCTTTGAGATAATTTGAAATATTTTTATAGGAAAATAAACGTAGGTAAACTGGTTTGAAATATCAATATTATAAACTTAATTACAGACAAAAGCTAGCTCAGAAAAATCTTAAATAACCATTCCAAATTGATTTACGTTCACGTCAATTTTCCACCATTAACATAGTGACGCGAAAGTGTGTAAATGAGACAGCGGAACGTGATAAAAATATCAGCTCCGGGGAATAAGTCACGTAAGGGCCAAGTTGACATCCCTAACTATGTTGGCCTCATTTAAATAACCGATCAAACTCAATCTCGGGCTCTCGCTCGTGCAACAAATAAGTGGCGAGAGCGGGCGCGGCAGCGGGTTGCTAGACATTTATAAGTACAGTGTGCTTACTATGAGTTTACGTGAGGTGTGCTCGCTAGCGAGTGCGTCAAAAAATCTATGAAGATTTTATTTCATGAAAGTAGCTGCTAGAAGCGCTGTACAATATGTCATACATTTAATGTCATTTTTTTACGCAGTCAAAGTTCAGTACCTCAAGTACGAAAAACTTTCGAGTTCGTTTCGTTTGCGTATTCAAAGTGTCATCGAAAAATTTTGTACGAAAAATTAAACAGCGCCCCCTAGGGCGGCTATAATATAGGGGGCGCTGTTTAACTCGAAAGTTTTTCGTACTAGAGGTACAGAGCTAAACACGGTGGTCGTTTCAGCCAAATGACGTCCACTGCTGGACAAAGGTGGTATCTTATGTTATTGTAATAGGTGTCGTTTTGCAACAAAATGTTGGCTGATGTGCCGTTGAACTGAACCTATTTTAGCTTCCATTTACACTACCCTGTACCCCACTACGCATGGTGGATGCGTGCAATATGCAAAGTTAAAAACACGAAATCATAAACAAAAAACAAACTATTAAAAATGTATCCTGCTCATCATCATCATCATCATCATCATCATCATCATGATTTTAGCCATAGGACGTCCACTGCTGAACATAGGCCTCCCCCAATGATTTCCATGTTGATCGATTGATAGCGGCCTGCGTCCAGCGCCTTCCTGCTACCTCAATAAATTTTAGCGTCCAACTTACAACATCTACAAAATCATTCTGGCTACAATTGTTTTAGAGGTTCTGCTAAATCTTTATGTATACAAAACCTTCGTTTTCCACAGAGGCCTCTCGAAGGGCACGCACATTAAAAAAGCCGTCAAATTATGTTTTTTAAACGAATGTTTTTGACATGGGCCTTGTTTCTGAACTGAGATTTTGAGCTTGAGTGTGCTCATTTACATAAGTATATTTTAAAAGTTACAATTGACGACAAATCAAAGGAACCAAACTAATACTAGCAAGACGCTCTTGGCACACTCGCTACCGCTCATACAATCATTGTTAAAACTCAATCTGTCAAACAATAACTGTTGGACAAGCTACAAGTTGGATATGCCGCGCTCATCCGCCGACTTATATTGGCTGCGAAAATTGAGACACAACTTTTAATGGTATTTGAATTTTTTCATGGGGTTAGAAGTTATTGGATTGCCTTATTAGGTTTCGATGAAACAAAATAAGTAGAACTGATAGTCTCTGCATAATTATTATAGAGACTAGAAATTAACAATACGAGTAAAGTTAAGCAAGCAATTTTTCTTATAAAATCTTTAATGTTGAAGATGGTAATGAAGATAATTCGTTTGTAACAATAATTACACTACACGCAGTTTTAAAGATTTAACAATTGGAGGCATTTAAACAAAGAATCAAAGAACATTTTAAATCTAAAATAATTCCGCCTACGAAGATTCGGGAAGAGCTAATTCATAATAATATTGACACAAAATATACATATTAAAAATGCATTGTAACTTTTCAAAGCGAATTTATAAATCGTCCGTCAAGGCGGCAAATATTTTAAGTACATATCTCTAAGGCTACAGAACGAGGAAGTAAAAAGAGCAAAGGAGCTTTTTATTAAGCATTCGGAGGGGGCGAATATAATGAATAAATTCCGCGTAAGGGCCCCTCGTAACGCAATTGAAAACTTTTAACAAGTGCCGACAAATCGTGTGTTAAGGTGGCTCGCACCTAATTATGGTGGCGCCGAGCGGAATACGAAATCAGTTAGGAAATTTTAAGACTCTCCGGGAGCCCTTATGAAAATCAGCTTGTTAATAAAATCTTCGTGTTGACCGATGACTTGACGACCGAATTTATTCAACAAAATTTTGCTCTTATAAATTCAAGTTACAAAATTAAATGTTCTTTTTGGAAGTCTTATTTTTTATTTGTCAATGTTCCTGTGCCGCTAATTAGGTAAATCCATTAACAGCAATTACACAATCTATAAATACTTAATCCATTAAGCAAAAGGAAAATAAAATCCTTTCCGCGAACTGAAAAAGTCTTGGTTATTAGCTGATCAACTGCGAGGCTTCCACGTGCCTGCTAAACAAGAGCGAATTAAGGAAATATCGCGTTCCGTTAAAACGTTTGATAAACGAGCGTCCTGGCCATTAACTTTTAGTTTACTATTAAAAATTAAGGGTTTCAGCTCACCGTCCGCGTCTGCCGAAGACGTATTCATTCTTTTGTAACCCTAAAAAACAAGTCATTAGAGGGTGTTTAATCTAGCGTTGTGCTCGGAAGATTTTTTCGTGGCGTTTCTTTATTCGGGAGCTAGCTCTCGCGGGCACCGTTAACGCTAAAATGATATGATTAATTACTGGAACCGGTCGCCCTCATTAGTGAGCAAATAGGATCGTTCATTGGTGAAATTGAATCAGGAGCTCCGGCGAACCGCGCGATCGGAGTCTAATCATAATTATTATTCATGCCAACCAAGTGGTTTCCATGGACTTTTTTGAACTAAAGCATTTGTTTTTTGACAAATACTTAGCTGCATTCAATTTTCAGCAAAATTGCTGAGTTTTTCCAGTTTTTGTATTACGAGACATCACTTCGCTAGCCGTGATTAAAAAATAAAGTTTATATCTGGACTGGAAGACTTTCTATAAAAAATCTATTATGCAGAACTCACTGAAATGTATAATACATATAGGTATAACATAGGTAAGGCAGTAGGTAACTAGATGATAATTATGAATCTATTTTATTAAATAGCAACATTATTATATTTCTGCCCATAGTAACTATCAAGCGGTATGCAAAAGTCGTGTCCTTCACCGAAATATTTTAGGAAAGATTTTTATAGGTCTTGACACTATGTATATAGTTTACGATGTAATTCGAGCCTCGATACAAACCACGGAACATTGCAAAAAAGCGTAAGACGCCAACAAATTATTCATAGGCTAATATAATTTGCAAAAAAACACTATTGGACGAGGGATCACCTTAGGCTTTCACATAAAAAAGAGAGCATCACGTCTCATAATCCACGTACAAAGAAACATAAACATGAGTGACGTACTTATCTTTTGTAATACCTAATGTCGTAAAGCCGAATGGAGGAAATTCGCAGCTTCGGATTTTTGTAGGTCGCGACAAAACCGGGGTATTTTTTTTTACTCATTTGGATGAAACTTCTTTAGTGTCTATAAAAAGGATAACGTCTATTGTTGTTACACTTCTATATTCTTATTCAATTTTAACTTTTTTCAAGTTTCTCGGAATTCAGTCGCATAATTACCTTATTCATGAACTTCTTTTTATACAAGAAAATTAAATTTCTTTGGAATCGCAAAAAGGTTGCGGCATCAATAACAAGGAGTCAAAAATTTCCAGAAACCAATTGGAGCTGAACCCGTAAGTATCGACTGGGTTTTCACCTACAAAAGTTTTCCGTCAATTCCCCTAAATACCGGCGAATGAGGTCAGATTGCCGTTCACAGCTCTGCGAAACAACGGAGTTATAGTTTTGTTGTACGCGATACAAACCAACTTATCGGACGCTACAGAAAACTTCCACAGATTATCGCTGATACCCACCGATTTATTGCCGGCCAGTATTGTTAACCGCCCGCTAATATTTCACCGGCTTTGTTCATATTTTTAAGTTTGACCAAACGGTTCCTTTAAGTCTCATCCACAACTTCGGAAAGCGCGTCTTTTGATATTGGATTTTCCTTTTCTGTTTATTGGATCTGGACAGTTCAAAGTTTCGCTCCTTTGAATTATTTCTTCAAGAACATGAAATATTACGTAGCGTAAGAACTCTTTGTGATCTATGAAAGTTATAGTTGTAAGTTTGTGACAAGTTAAAAAATACCAACCTTATATTTCAACCGCAGTGTGCCACACAGGAATGTCCCCGCGCCCCCCAGGTCCAAATTATTCAGATTACAATACCCTATCTATATCACAAGCTTCCACCTAGCTTAGCACTAAAGCCCTACACTAACACAATTGACACTTCAACAACGATCGGTAACGGTCCACTTAAGTTAACGCTAAATAAAAATCTAACATTAGTTAACATGATAAAATGAACAAAAATCTCGACTACGATGCCACAGTAACAAAAAAAGAACTCAAACAGTAATGTCCGTTCGCGTCATATTTACAATAGGAAAGAACGTCGTTTGGGACGTGGTACAGAAGAACCTGTAGTAGGTAACTAGTCCGATTGTTGGGGGGTTGCTTCAGTGGACCCAGGAGGGGGCGACAGAGTAGGGGGTTCGGGGGGCGCCCCCTCCCGAGAGCGTGGTGGGGACAGGGGGCGCGGGCGCAGCGAACTGGCTCTCGGCCTCCGCGGCCATCGCAGAATGCTGCTGGGGGAAGTTGAAGTCCAGGGTCCCGTCCATGCTGAGCTCATGCTTTATGACCTGTGGGAAGAGATACCTACTGTTTCACAAGTGCCAACATCAGATTCTGTCTTCTAAGCTCTAAGTGCAAAAGTCTTCTACATCTGTAATAATAAAAATATTTATGTAGATAAAGCCGTCAGTAACAAGAACGAAAAAGATTTCGTCCTCCTACTGTATCGACTGAATTGCTATTTTTCTGTTTGGGAAAACAGTACACTGTGAATGTACATCACATGACGGAATAGTGATAGGGCATGCTATATTTTAGAAGTGTAAGCGTCTTCAAAACTACTGATAAATTGACTAACAGAAGAGCTAGACGTTTGTGAATATTCTTGATTCTCTATCCTTACCTCATCAACATTGCAGTCGAAGCCGTGCTCCAGCGTCTCAATGTTAAGGTCCTCCGCCAGGCCCGTGTTTAGGGCTCCCATGATCTGCCCCATCACCGTCGTGGGGCCCATAGCTCCTGTCTGCACCATCAGACCGCCGTTCAGCAGCGCCGCGTCTGAAGTCGTCACCATTTGCGTCTGGCTGTTCTCTGGATAAAAACAATCAAAACATAGACACAAAGTTGCAATATTTTTTGAATTTCCTGTTTATTTAATTGCTAGTAAGGTTTATTTAAGTAGGTACTAGGGCTTCATCATCATCATCATCAGCCGGCGGTTTGGTATCCACTCCAGGAGCACGACCATCTCTAATTCACTAGAGGCAAAAGAGGATTTGGCTTTCACTCCTCACGCAGACCAGACGGATTGGGAAAGTCTTAAGTTCGCACTCGTAGATGGATTTATTGATGAGTAAGTCGTCGAATAGCTACTGTGAGCAGAGGAGAAATGGGTTGTCCCATAGTTTGTCACGTTACATACGAGTAATATCATTATACTTTAGAGACACTAAGAATAGAGTTATAAAGACAAATTTCAATGTCTTACCTGTCTGCATAATATCAGCAGGGTCAGCAGGCGGCGGTGGCCTGACGAAGTGGTCAAGGGCATGTTGGTGAGGATGTGTAGGATGCGCCGGGTGAGCCGGATGAGCCGGATGAGCGTACAGAGGATGCCTCGGACACGCTCCGTAAGCGTACCGGTAGTTGCCGCCGGAGGATGAAGATGACGTCGTTGGGACGTACCTGTGTGATCCAACTTTTATGTTACCTACTATACACAATACCCTGTTGATTGACCACAACATTGATAATGTTCTTAATAAAATTCTGGGATAGGTAGGGTGTGATTTAAGTTTAAATCTAACAATAAAATTGGATAACTTTGTGATCTAGAGACTGAAAGCCTATTTTATTTCAAATCTTACTTCAGATTTGAAACTATTGTACAATAAAAAATATTTAGGTTCAAGAATTCTCGGAACTCGTTGTGGAAATGCTAATCAGTTTTTGTGTTCGTCTCCAATTTTATTTAATTGCTCCATTGTTCCTAATTTTTTATACTTTAAACTTATGTGGTAGTAACTGGAAATTATAAAAAAAAACTTGTTTGATTGAGGTTGATTTGCCAGACCTTTGTTGAACTTAACACTTCGTGCATGAATGCACCTTTGCATCCTTTTCTGTTAAACAAAACATATAAATCAAGTTTTCAGTAACAATTCTAAGGAAGCGAAGCATCTAGGACTAGGCGACTCTTACTTCACGAACGAAGCGGTAAGCAGCACAATACTGCCTAATCTTTGAACCGGGTAAGACTGCCGGTCAAATCCTAGTTGAAAGCGTTACTCACGTGTTTAGGAATGGATCAGCCCCTTGCAGCTTCATGGAGTCAGCTAGCGAGCCAGCCAGTTGCTCCTCTTGCACGTAGTCGACTTGGGAGAAATCGCTACTCGGCGTGAAGTCACCCGCTGTCGTGTACTCTGAGGCCCAGTCAGGCTCCGTCGCGATCATCGAGGGGATCGGTGACAGGCGCCCGCAGGAGGACGCGTTGGACGGCGCCCTCTGGCGGAAGTCCGGCGACAACTGGAAACTGTTGCTACGCGCAAGCGAACAAGCGTCAACATAAGACCTCAAACATCAACCAAATCATGTGCTCGATACCTCTCGATCACAAAATAAAGTCGATATTCAAAGGGCAAACAATCAAAATTTATAGCCGAAAGAAAACTTAAAGCTAGTTCATCTAATAGGATCTCTCTAGACAGTATAACACGGAGTGTAATGGGGAACATGCAAATCTAATGTCTATTTAGAGGCTCGCTAACATATAAAGTATGCTAAATGAAGCGATCACCATAACGGGTTCAATGGTCAGCGCAGAAATATTTTTATTGCTACAAACAATGACAAAAATGCTCTGTAAGAAATGTGCTGTCGGCACGCTCCTCCGGCCTCGAGGACGACTGTCCAAAATAAAAGTTATGCCCGCAATCCCGATGGATATTCGGCAATAAAAATGTTAAATATCGCCGAAATGACGAGATTCAGCATCCACATAACTCATCATCTAATGGTTGTGAATGATTTAAAACCTTTTATCATAAAGTAGCAGTGTTGCAATAACTCAATTTTATTAGTCTGGTCAACGCCGCTTTATGCCGATAGTTTTATTATAGCGAGTGTATCATCCACCTCACTTTGTTTCTAGTACTCGTAAAATTTCAATATTCCCAAGAAGCCGTATTTAAAATGTATTGGGAATTTTCGCGGTTTTGGCAAAACTCACTATTGTATTACCCGCATAGGTAAGTTATTATGCCTTTAAAGTCGAATTAGTATCGCTATTCGCTACATCCGTTCGGGTTGACATTGTTGGCGTGGTGCCACAGTTCTTTTAAATTTTCTTGCATCTGTGGCTATAATCTGACCGTGGAACTATTCTGGTATGACTCTAATAATCTAAACTATGCTAAGCTTAGTACTCCAGCAAACAAATTGATAGTTACCTGTGCAAAGGTGATTCTGGGAACATATCTAGGCTTTCTGAAACTGAACTGCTGGGACTTGGAGTCGCGTCAGCTGTTACACCATTCCTCAACGCCTCAGCCTGTAAAAAAGAATGGTTTTAAAAATAGATATTTCTGAAACCTTCATAAGTAAAACGTGTTTTGCATGCAGTTGCACTTTGAACTTATTTTCAATTATCGTCTGACTCCCACGAGACGCAAATAATTTTAAAATAAATCACATTGTTTCCACTAAAATAGAAAACAACTACTACCTAAACCTATGCTGTTTGCGTCATAGTGTGGGTCTAACATACGCGTGCATGCATTGATGCACGAATTCGCTTTACGATTGTTTTAGTGCCATGTTCCGAATTACACATAGTAAACATTGACCACATCATCAAAAGTTTTAGCAGACATGACTACTATAAGTCCGATATTATTTATCGAATACCAAAGACTCTACGGATCTTTTCCGGAATATTCACATTCGACTTTACTTTAATTTAGGAGTGCCGACCACTTACTTATCACTCCTAAATTTCTAATGATTTCTTTTTTAAATCTAGGAGCAGACTTATTATGAACGGTTTAGGCACACTGTGGTTTAGATCTCGAAGCTAAGCAGTCAGATACAGCCTAGAACCGCAACTAGAACCTCAGTGTAAACTCTAAATAACGACTCGTATGGGACTGAGAGAGTAGTTAGATAAAGAGACACAGTAGAGCGAATGAAAACAAGATAAACCAACTAAAGTCAAAAATTTTCGCCGTTTTAAGGAGTTTGGCGTCAAGTTCAAGAGCTTCCTAGTTGTGGATACAAAAAAAGAGTATACTTTGTATTTTCATTTTTAAGAGTACTAGGTCCTATGTGTTAAGAGTATCCTATATCCTTACCTTCTTCTTAACCCTCCCTCTTCTCTTCTCAAACTTCGACGTCTCCATGGACGCGGCCCGCCTTCTAACCGACTTCCCGGGCTTGGCGTCAGGGTTGATCATCCACCACGACGACTTCCCCGTGCCCTCGTTCTGGACCCGCATGAAGCGATTGTGCAGCGACAGGTTATGCCGGATCGAGTTCTGGAAAGATGGACACTCGTTAAAATCTCAAAAAGTGTGAGGAACATTGATGATTTAATAAATATCCAGCTGATCTTAATTAAATAGTACTAATATTCGTATAAACACAAAAACACGCCCCTATAGCAAAATCAAAGAGCATATTAAATCTAACAGGATGATTTACTCAAATCTACCTAGTTAAAATGCCACGTATTTAGGTTCGCATGAAGATACCGTCATTTTATATTTAGTTCTGTCGGTAAATGCTCTCATGACTTGCCTATTTTCAGCTTGCGTAGTTTTTATATTTCCACCAACGAGGATAGTAAACGTGTGGTAAATGGTTTCACGGTTGTTGCCGCCATGAATCGCGACTACAAAGTGGTCTGAGGTGAAGTTAAAAATAGTCGGTCATAAACTGCAAAGGACGCATCCGGGCGTTCCCGCTCCTGACCACAAAAAATCTATTTTAATTCCGTCTACTGTGCAAAGTTAGTGCAATAACGTGTCCTATCTCACACCGGCAATAAAATCTCACAACTTTTTCCGTCGAAGGAATAACAGCGACCACAGACACGAATGAAGTTTAGCAATAAAGGAGTCCATAAATAATTTCTGCGTGCCCACCGACTAACGCCACTTACGTTACGTACGTCATGTAAATATGTGGCGCTTGGGTATTTGGAATGAAAGCCAAATATGCCGTCTATTCCAAGCATTTCAGGAGATATTTTTTGTTAATGTAGCTTCGTGAATTCCAGTTCAGCTTTAGTTTCAACATTGATCGCTATCGTTTCATTAATTAGACTTTGGCAATAATGCAACCAAATCAAGTCAACCAAAATACTTAATTGAGTCACTCAAATCACCACAGTCGGTCGACGCGGACTTTACAGATTTTTATTGCATTCATTGATAATTTCATTTTATCGCGGATGGAAAAAACAATCGAAAAACGTCGCTTATCATCTGGCCAATTAAGTTTATGTATTAACACAACAATTGGGCCTGTTCATAAATCGCGTGAATGTGGACGACTCCTCGATTTATCAAGCGTGAAAACACACGCAACAAATGGGCCGTCGACGCTTTGATGGATTTGTCGCCAGTAGCCCTTACCACGGGTTGACTGGACTGACAAATGCAGACAGCGAGGACAGTGATTCAATACGTCGGCTCTATCTACTGATTTAAGCTACCCAAAGAAGATGGAGGTATGTCGAAATCATGTTCTGGATTGAGCTGGTCTGAGACACCATTTTTTACAATACTAAAAAGTAATCTTGGTTATAGTATCTATGCTGAGACTGAGGAAGATTTGATAGATTTGTCGACAGCAGCCCTTACATGGATGGGTTGACCGAACTGGAAAATGTAGAAGAGCGGGAGTGATTTCATATAACGGCTCTGCCTATCTAATTTATGCTACCCAGAGTGCATAGAGATGAGAAGGGTATAAAAAGTCAGTAACTAATTCTCAGACCTGAGATGGATATCTTGGTTATAAACAACATTACATAGATCAATGAAAAGACAATGATGGCAATGCTTCAAAGGTAACAAGAAGAATAAAATGAAAAACATTCTGCTTAAGCGAAAAGAGTGCGTGAAAGCATGATAGCGCCCGCGAAGAATTTACAATGTTATTATATCACTGTAGGCACCACAGACAAATGACAACTTTTACGATGGAGAGTAATTGTCCCTATCTATAGCCGCCAGGTTTATTTCATGAAGATTCCGAATCCCATCCAGATTTAGTGTGCTCCTGGATTTATGACCATGACATTAATATTTATTTCTGAATTTCGGCATGGCATAATTTCTCGAGTAATTTATTGTTGGTATACCAAGACAGCGGCATAGTTTGCTGACGTTCAGTAAAGGTTAATCGAATTTTCTGCTCATGTAACGTCACGTACAACCTGCGTTGAATTCGCGTGATTTACAAGTTTTTTTCAGGACGCTATATTATGGTTTCTACGGTCGTATTTCTCTGCGCATCAGTGAAGATTGAGCGGGTACTGAAAGCCATACCTTTTGTAGATACAACAGGACATATAATCTTGGGGGATGTGCCTCATTTTATTTTATGTATACTGGCTACAGTGCCGAGTATGTCATTCTGTATGACGTATGGATATATTTCCTGGAAGCATACTTTGTAGACAGATAAATTCCTATTTATAATTCTCCTGAATATACCGTTTCAAATACAATGCTTATTGAATTTGCTATCAATAGTTGGCATTTTATGTAAGACAAAATTGAGGAAAAATATTTAAATTGAAATAAATCTTAAAATTTAGAGCATAATATTGTTAATTGACAAGGAAATCAAATCGTTACCATTTGACTACCCGTTTTGCAAATGTCAAAATGTATTTCCGCGCTTCCAGTGAAGTCTAAGCTCTGTGGGTAGCCGAGTCCCGTTCTCGTACTTAGAATTTTGTCTACGGCAAGAACCTTGGCGCCAGCGCGACCCTTATGGGGAGAATTAACCGTCTACCGTCGCACTCCCCTAAATGCTCCAGCGACTTAAATTTCGAATTCCCGTTGTTATAAACCGTTACGCAATCGAACCAATGGCTTATGATTTTCTTTATGACTGACGCTTGTTTTCTGACGCCATTAAAATGATCAAATCTTTTTAGAGAAGCCTATTTTTTACATCTTTACGATCTTATTCATTATACAATAGGTTATTCTGGAGTAACGTTAAGAGATCAACGGTATCCAAAGGCCAATATAATAAACATACTGTCCATTGAAATTCAAATTAAATTGATACCTACCTGAGCTATGGGACACATTAAATTTTCTTCACGATACGTAGAACTGACAACGACTACCGAAGGTTTGTTGCATTATTCAGAACATTATATATTATCTTAGTTTGACACACTGAGTGTCCAATGAAGGTCTTTCTGAATTCATTATTATACTCTACAGAGGGTTGCAATCTGAGAAGGGCGTTTAATGCGCTTACAACCAATTAAGTTTGATGTGATTCTTAGAATTCAGTAGCAAGTTTCTGAAGAGAATTGTGAGGTAAAAGTTTAGAAAAGCGACAGATTGAGACTCAAACTGATTTTAATCATTTTTAACTCAATCATTGGGTTAAAAATAATTGAAATACATTTTGATGCACATCCTGCACATTGAAACCAACAAGATTTAGAAATGGACATGCAGTTTACAATTAAAGTTTCTTGTCTGCATCAGTAAAAACAAGATGTTTTCATAATTTGTATAGGTATTGCTAAAGTTAGATCTAAAAGACTCATGATATCGGATTTTCCAACGAGTTTGAATATTACAGTGTTAGTAACCGTTATAGAGACTACTTATGCTCTTTGAAACAAATGATCAGTTCCAAGTACAACTTCCAAAATTTATCCAAAACTTCACCCTGTATTACCGGTGTACCTTCAGAAAATGCGTCGCAGCGTAACGTATGCGCATATAAACGCCCCATGCGGTATTAGGTGAATGAAATTATCGAGCTTACCGAACCTTGCTTGCTTATGGATTTCGTTAAGCGATTGCGTTTGTAACCTTGTTTCTTATGTATTTCAACATATTCATTTAAATATAGACGAATGGTGATTCAAGAGTAGGTTTTATATCATCTTAAGGCAATACAAATTTTAGGACAGCAACCATGATTATTATTCTACTTAATGCGTTGTCAGGGAATCTAATCCTAGATGAATCAAGACTTGTAGCCACTGGACTCAAATACCGCATTAAAATACAATGGTCCAGTTCAGTCTCAGAAGTTACAACAGAAATTCAATGCGTAATGAAGTCCTTACCGTCCAAAACGTTTGATTCAATCCGAAAATCATGGCACATTTCAATACTTCCACAACCCAAATCGAATTACAATAAAAATCGGGAAGGCGCTTTCCAAGTCTCTAAGTGCGAAATCAAATAATAAATAATTCAAATTAGAGAATCGCGATTACACAATAAGACGGTGGCGGGCGCCTCCAGACGTGACGGCTTCCAAATTTCAAGAAATCCAGTGACGTGCCAACCACCACTGACAAATTTAATTATTCAACTTACCGAAACGTTAGCAAGATGACTTTTCCACGAGCCGATAACTAAGTAGGAATAAATTCACTTAGAACTGCCGAAGCAAAGTTTAACTTAATAAAACATTGAAATTTTCGTAATTCTATTTAACTGAGGTCGGATTCCGGAGTCGGCCTGATTTGAATACGTCATTACGCACAATTTTCTAGCCCACCTGGTCGGCGAGCTGAATAAGATACCAGTAATGAAGGAAAACGGGGTCTTCGTGGAAGCCAGCTACTGTAATAAATAAATTGGGGGCACAATCAAATGTTTCGACTTGATAGAGCTCTGTAATGTGTGAAACTGAAACAGCAATTTCATATGATATCCTTGATTTTATTATTCATTATGGATTCAGGATTTATCAATTCAGTAAATTTATAATCATTTAAGATCTTGTGACGTGTACTCGTTTGTCATATTAACCATTTTCATTACTAAAACGTACTACCTACTACACTTCATCCTACATTGCGTGTCTCTAGATAGACACTTCACTATGTTTGGTAGTCCTTTTTAGGGTTACGTAGTCCTGACAAGGAGGAACCCTTATAGTTGTTTTTTCACATCATGTTAATGAGAAATCTTGGTTTAACTTAAATTAGAGTAAGATGACATTGTCCAAATATTCATCTTTGATACATTCAGATTGATAAATTCTTCTTGTTGATAAAGATTCTTCGTAGCTACGCCAGAATATTATGAATCAAGGTACAGCTATTATGAACGAATAATTTACAGTAAACGAAGTCTTTATAATTAGGTTTCATTATATCAAAGTCAAGCCGCACAAGTTCTTTGGGAGCCCAAATAGGAGGAAATTAACTGAACAATGGTCACATAACACAGAGAAAGGTGAGAGAACCTTTGAAAATTAACTTCCAAAAACTTTTGTAATCCGTTTTACGTTTCGAAAACGCCGAATTAATGTA